GAGTTTTAATAAATCGACAAGCCGGAAAGAGAACAAAACGAGACGGTGATTAAGTTGGAGCCAGGACCAGAGAGACCAGAATCCGGCAAAGGCAGACTAAGGATGATGACCAAAAAAAAAGACAGAAAATAAATACATGCAGCTATTGAAGGTAACTTAATGACCGCTGCTTACCCATTTGAAGTCGGAGATCCAACAGCAACAGCACTCAGCAGCCAATTTCCGGGTAATGAGGAAATATCCGCGCAGCCCTCTCCCGGCTCTGACGATGGATAGACTTCGCACGACAGGGACCAGTGATAGTGAATTCGCCCCTTTCTGCCTGGCCTTTCTTTCGCGGCGATCGATACAGTACTAGTAGTATCCGTCTGATATTATTATTATGATGGTCAGTGCGGGGCCACCTTGGACAGGTAGAACAATTCGGCTGCGATGGGCAGGATAACTAGTTTGGGGGGGAGGAAAAGGAAAACAGCGTCTTGTTTCTGTGACGGTTTCGTCTAGCATAAGTTAGCCAAGCCAGCCTTGTGCTTTTCCAGCAAATGCTAGGGGACTGAGAAGCGTCTGGGCAGTCCCGATGAGGCACTTGATCCCTTGAATCATCATCAATGAGTGGGGGAGGCTACCAACAGACGGTGAAACACGCTTGATCAAAGTTAAAACACGGCACAAAACACACAACACACAAACGAAGGGCAGATGCGGAGATGGGAATGCAATGCAAAGGACTACCTCAAGAAGTCGGTCCTGGCACGTGGGGGATGTGGACGCAATTGGTGGTTGCAGTTCAATCCGGACTGTGACTGTGGTTCATGGCAGGACGAAAAAGGGCGAACAACTGCGCTGACTGAGATACCCTGAGCCCGGAGGAGAGAAAGAAGATGCGGGGAATAATGAATAACGTGAAGAAAGAAAGATACTCGCGGATGGTTACAGGGGAATGAGGATAATTACAGTGAGATATAGCTACTGGATTATTTGCCCCTGTTGGTCTCCTTGTGAGGATTCTTGCCTCCTTCTCTTTCTTTTCTTTTTTACTAATTTCTGTGTTTGCACAAGTATTTTGGCTACATTTTCTTTCAGTTGTCGATTGACACGCGCAATGGATGAAAAACTCTGAGAGTTCAACCAAAATGACCCCAGGCCCAGAAGACAGACCACATCAGACCGGCCACTCAGAGCACTTCCGAATATCCTCTGTGGCTGCTTGCTACCCAACTCTCGCCCTGAGCGAACGTGTGATGCAGCTATCCATTCTCTGGTTGCACAGCCTCATTGCATGCATGC